AACGGAAAGTTTTGCCCTAGAGGGATGTAAAAGTCGTATACCGAAACGTGGAGGAGACTCAAACGCCCAAGCGAAGTCGTGTGATCAGTCTAAGATCGTTTCTCCTAAAACATATTGAGCGACACATAAGGGATGAGGTGCTGAGGCCCAAACCCATCAGTGCCTATCAACCCGGAAAATCCAGTTGTCCACAGAGTAGTGGATGTAGCTGAAAGGGCGATCTCGCTTAACAACGCCCCTGTAGTGGTTCGGGCTGTACGAGGATTCCCGCAGGGTGGAATTTTCTCTTCGCTGCTGTGGTGTTTGGTGGACTGCTGAAGAGGCGGGCTAGACCACAGTTGCCCATGCCGATGACATAGTGATTGTGGTACGTGACAGATTTGAGGAGACCCTATCAGTTGTGATGCAGGGAGTTTTAAATATAGTGGAAACATGGTACGAAGAATACGGCTTACCTGTTAATCCAACAGAAACAAACCTCATTCCTTTCTCACGTAGAAAAGACCTGACTAAGCTAAAGGACTTTGCAATGTACGGCACCAAGGTACAGGTAGTGAGAGAAGGTAAATACTTGGGCATCATATTAGACCAAGGGCTCACCGGCAAATCATATCTGGAAAAAAAAGCGCGCGAGCAACGCCACAAGGTCCATGTGGGCCTGCAGGCGATTGTTCGGGAGCAAGTGGGGGTCTCTCTCCAAAAATGACCCACTGTCGAAATTGTGTTTTGCAAGACCTAAGTCTTTGTGACGTGTTCGTGACATCATTATGGTTCCATAAACATACATACCTTTCTTCCGTGCACTGTAACGTGTTACGTCATTTTGTCTCAGAAACAAGCAAAGTGCGGGAATCACGTCAAGTAATACAATAATATTTAACCCTCTAATTACAGTATCGCGATTATATTTTTTTTTAAAAAGATGCAAATAAAATATTTATTCTACACAGCACCATTGTATATATACAATGACTCCACCATGGCGTTTTATTCAATGACTATGGTTTACCATCGAATGGTTTTACTTATACATATAGGTACCAATTTATAGAGGTATCCACTGTTTTCTTTTAGGATAGCATAGATTGCTAAAATTATTTATGCCTCGATTTATGCACTACAATTTGCATTGGTAGTGTTTTCTAATTTCGATTTATAAACTTAAATTTTCATCCTAACAGTTTGGAAGTCATACGTACCTTTAAGCTCATAATTGAAAAGCTATATCTTAAAATTGGGAATGAGTTGAAACGAGGTTTCAAATTTTGAAGTTTGAAACACATTCGCAGCTTCCGGTTTCGGATAAAAGTATCTAAACTCCAGTTTGGGGTAGGGCTGTAGCGGAACCGACACGCACACGCTCTCATCTTTCCTCTACCCAACAACAAAAGCAAAGTCGATATCTCCATAAATATGCATGTTGCAAATTTTTTATTGTGGTCACGTCCGATTTGGGTCCCAAAAAGGGCAAAATGATAGAGATTTTTTAAATATCAACTTGCAGTTTGGAGTTTGACAGGGGAGAGATGAGAACGTGTACCTACTGTAAAAATATTAATCACCTAAGACTTCAGGTTCCTGCTGTCGACAAAAATTATTCCTAAAAGATCATAGCCTGAAAAGTTAGCAGAAGTGAGGAAAATTACGCTATACTTTGATTAGGTATACCTATTGGGAGGTAAGGGAGTAGATAAACTAGCAAGAAATATAGCAAAAACTACCTATAGTCTTGCTCTAAAATTCATAGAAAATCGACTAGTCTGAGATCGATTGAAAAATTAACTTTTCTGAAAGATTGGATCCTGAAGAGCTCGCAGAAGTGCGACAAATTGCTATACATACTTTCATTAGGATTAAGAGATACAGCGTTACAAAACAAAGAAGCAATACAAAGTCGAATTTCTCTGAAAGATTAGAGCTAGCAGGACAAAGAATAATTGCGCTACTTTAATTATATAAGAAAAAACTATAATCTCGCCTATATAAAATGAATCGAAAGTCGACTGGTCTCAGATTTCAGCCGAAAAATAAACTTTTCTGAAGGATAGCCTGATGAGCTATAGTAGAAGCAAAGAATACATAATAATTATTAGTTACTATTTGGTAGAAGTGAGACCAATATTACGCTACTTTTGAGGCAGTTAAGAGTGTTCGAAAGGGGGTTAATTCGTTTTTTTTTTTACGTTTTATGAGCCATAGATACGGGACCCTAAAAAAGGGCACCCGAACGAATCTCTCCCCATTTTCGAATTCAGCGCACGAAAACTTATTTTTTTGTGCAAATTTCAAGTTGATATTTGGACAGATAAAAAGGACAGATTTGAATCAGATTATGATCACATATATGTTCAATATGAAACTATCGCTACTTAATAACTGCGCTTTTATATGTCCATATGACGTTTGTGACAAATAGGTATAGGTACATAGTCGCGTATAGTGCTGCAGAAGCTTTGCCGTCAAAAAAGTGCACCCACTTTATCTGTCTGTCCGTCAGATGGGCTGTACTTTCTTCTACAGTTTTCAAGCCATTAGGTTCGTTTTTTTTTGGCATTCAGCAGCTTAAAGCTCTAACACTTGAGGAAATTAAAATATTAGCAACGGCTTACCCCTTGGGCACACAGACGCCCAACAATTTTATTAGAAAGCTGCGCGCACCAACTTTCTTATTTTCATGAAGGCAAGCGATATTCTCCTGGAATTTTAACCACAATGCGATAAAAGCAAAACTCACAGGGCCAATTTTGTTATAATCCGCTGCCATATATTCAAAAACTAAAATGCCCTAAACGTATGTAATATAAGTGTTCGTTTTTACGGTTAAAACTCGTATTTTTTTGTACAGTAGGTACCAGTGGGTGGAAATTGTCTGATCATATAACATGCTTATGCTTATACTATATTATTCAGAAGTATAATAACAATAACCAAATTAATTCGTATTTACCTATATCGCGTACCTATATGTCTAATGCATGTGGACTATATAGTAATTTAGTCCTTATAATATGATACTTGTATATTTGTAAGGAATGTGCATAACAGTAATCTTTATATTGTAATGTCTTGAGTAGGTATTGTGGAAAGTGACCCCTCGGATACATTTTCAAATGAAGGATTTACATTTTAATCGATCAACCTATAGGTACAATGACGTAAAAAGAAATAACAGAAATCCGGCCCAATTTCTAAGAAAAGCGATTGGTAGGTATTTTACGAGGTATTTTACTATGATTTTTTAATATAATCGAGTGCATTCGATAATACTGTTGTTATTTTTTTATGTTTAGGTAAAGGTAGCTAAATGTGAAATGGGAACATAGAGGGAACTTAAACATAATTTGCTTATAGGCAAAAGGCAAATATTAGCAACTATAGGGTAGTTGTAGGTGAAATGAGATTTTAGGTAAAAGTGACAATGAAAACTAATGGCTGGTAATTCTGCGGTATAAATCAATCATACGGCACATTTTATCTGTTGAGTAATAAATAAACTCGAGGTGACCTTTTAAATCAGAAATAATCACTGTGATTGTTTTCAGTAAAAGTAATCTCAAATCTATAAGATGCTCGACACATCAGAATTGCGTCAAATTGTAAATGTAGTATACATTTTTACAATAATTAATTTCGTAATAGCACCAGTCCGCTTATCTATGAGGCTGTATAAAAATCTTTGCAATATAAATAAGGATTCATTGCAAAATTACCTATTAATAGAGCAAATTGATAATATCACGTCGATGCATTCTTTAATTTCTCACTGATAACCGAACACTATAATAGCAAATGGGTCATTACTGAAGATCGGGGTGGCATTATAACAATTAGAATCAATTAATACGAATTGTTTTATCGGCATATTTATCTAAGTATGCTTCATTTTAAAGTGTATTTGCCACTTAGTATGTCAGTGCAAAGCACGCAAGAAATACTTCCTTTTAACTTGACAATTGAAAAAATAATGAGCTTGACGGCCGTAATATAAGTAGATGTAACCTCTTATACCCTATACCCATATAAATGTTAGACACGCAAGACACTCAAACATTTGATTAAATGACAACAAAATCGTTAACAAACCGTATAATTTAACCGAATTATTTAAACGGCGATTATAATAAAAACAGGTTTAAAGTTTTAGTAATTTTACTTTGAAATTGATGTCTAAATAGTTTCCTCCACAAAATGTACCCCTTTAAATTGCCGGCAATTAGATTTATGTGTGTTGTGGATGCTCTGACTTACACTTAAAGAAGGTCTTAGGTGTTGAGAAGTTCCCATGAAATTAAACGGCGCATACGTTGACGTACCATAATTGGATGGGGGCCCTCGTCTTGGGCCCGGCGAAGAACTTCTTGAGCTGTTTGGCATCAGAAGCATTGGAGAACAACTCAACATTGATACTTGCGGCGCACTGTCACATACACGGTTGCATTCCACCGTCACTAAATCACAACTACAATCCATATAATATAATCTCCGAACTACCAGGTATTTAATTTCCTATATACGTACACGTGTGCGTTTCTATAGTACTCGCATCATCGGCGTTCGCGTCTACACACCTACTCAAATCGATACACCTCATCCGATTTTTTTGTTAATTTTTTTAAAGATAAAGCACATGTTATAGGTATATCTACCTATATTTATAATAGTAGCACTTCAGTAAGCGCGCCGCTGTAACCCACGCAATGGTGAGCAATAGGACTAACCAATAATTCCCCTTCCCAGACCTGTACTACTCGTTGGAAACCGAATGAAGGCGGTTGAAAACGAATTTTCTTTAAAAAAAGGCTAATTTTTCAATGAATCTTCTTAATTTATACCACATAAAAACAATATCAAAATTGTCAGCCCTTCAAATCACGCGTGGAATACGCCCGCAACATCCTATAAGCTCACGAGCATAAGACGACGCTAGTCACTCGAATCTCCCTAATTAAATTTCGGGATTTTTTCCATTTTTTCCGAAAGATTTAATCGATACTACTTACCACCTCCATCATCAGTCCCGTATTTGAAGTTGCTGGAAACTGTCGGTCAGTTAATGGAAGTGCAGCTGCCGGCATTTCGGTGGCTGTTCTTTCTTTCTGATTGGGTATAATGGGACTTCGACTGCCTCCCTCACCTGAAAAAGGAAATTAAAATCTTATTTGAAGGTAATTGATAATTTGATTAGGGACCGCGATATTAATAGAGTAATATCTGTTTAACGGATTGGTTATTCAGCCCTCGAGCTTTCGGCAATACACTATCATCGAATGTTTAGTGGATTTTCATTGTGTATACGTAAAGGGTATGAAACGGTTTAATTTTGTTATCGATTTCATTGTTAAACGAGTGCAGAGCTGATACCGTACGTAGATAGGTAAGACACATTAAGAGATACGGCAGGTACGGTATCGATCTTGTGGCAATGAATCCAGCTGATTACAGGTATAGGTATACGTTTTGCACGCTACTCAAATCTTACCACATCACGTGATTGCATATAGTTTTTTAAAACGATTATACCTACATGAATAAGTACAACAGTTGGAATTGGGGATAAGGCATGCTTTTTACACACTGGCATCATTCCTTCCGTCGCACATAGTCGGAAGTCAAATTATTAAGGAAATAGCGTTTCAGTAGGTAACGTAAAGTTCTCTCGCCCGCCGGTGGTTGCAGCGTTGGTAATTAATTATGCATGGTGGTAGCGCGTTCAACTGGTGACCCATGTGCTTATATATTAACTACAACATACAGAATTTACGGTCACTCACCATTTTTACTAAAACTACCTATCGCAGAAAATTGCATTATGTTAAAAAAATCATTTCATCCCCCGTGAACGTAGTGCATGTGTATATAGGGTTTACGTCACTATGTGCGAGATGCGAGCAAACCGGGACAGTGAGAGACGAGCAGCATTTGCACACACATATATGACCGACAGTTAGGCACTGAGGGGTCAAGGGTCGCCTGGACGCCGGGCGTGTCGCAGCGTCGCGACGGCCTATGGTCCCTGTGACGAAACGCATGCGCCGACTTCGGGGGACAAGTGACAGTCGTTCTTGCAGTGACAAATCTAGAGGGCTCCGCCTCTGCGCGTTTTAAATGCGCTTTTGTATGTAAAATATTATATAAAAAGATGTAGGATGAACGGAAAATATAGGACGAATTCCTACTTATTAAAAGGATATAAAATATGCCGAGAATTGATAGATTAACCGTTTCACATGCTGCGTTCGATATCCAACCCTTATATAAATGAATCAAGACATTGAGGCCCTTCCAGTCACGTTTAATACATAAGACGGCGGGTCCGAGATCGATATGAGACCCAGAGAGTACGTGGGACTAACGCTTTTGTAGTATGCTTAGGACGATGAAAAAGGATATCGTAAATCACACTGCATCCAGCAGAATTTAAGATGCGCCTCGTCTTTTAAGGAAGAAATTTTGTATATTTATGCCAGATCGAATTTCCTTTCGATATAATTTGTCAATGACATTTATTTGAAACTGTATCTACATTTTACATATCAACAACCCCCACCAGGTCCAGGTGATATTGTGGAGAAGGTAAAATAGGCGTATCTGCAGGTGACAACCGCGGTCCGCCTAGCGCTTGCGCTCGGTTGACATCCCCCGCTTACGGTGACATTGCGACAGGCGGACCCACCTGATGTCCCATTGGTCCCTAAGTTACCCAATACAGTTACAAGTTTAAGGGTTTTTTTTTGTATTTCCCAAACCAAATTTGGATTTCCATCAACTCCAATTGACTTATAATTTAATCACCTCAACAATTCACGACGATCCTTCACCTATACAAACATCACAGAATCTAATAAAGGTGCAAAGGACGATCGGACTAGCACCCCCTGCGCAAGATATCACGATAACTAAGTAAGTCTGTTCATCTCCACAACACGGCAGCACCGTTGTGATCGAACTTTGACCTTTCAAGCTTATAACAATGAAATAAAATGAGGTATACACATTTTGCATTAAGAAAAACAAAACTACGCCGACCGTTCCTTCACGCATCTTTGCAACTAATAAATCTCCCAAACAATAATTTAATTCGAGCCGCTACTTCTTTATAAAGTAACAATAAAGGAATAATTATCTACCTACTTACCAATAACTCCCATGTTGACCACAGTTTATTAGATTTCTTTACATTTAATTAATATCATTAGATGATTATAAATTCACAGCAAATTAATCAGTTTGATTGGCACATGATGTGGCTTATGTTGTCAATAATTAAATTTATTTGTTGAATTTTTACTGTATAGGTGCCTAAAGATATGCTTTGAATCATTTCAGGTTAATTAAATAGCACCTAGTTATTGAAACTAGCAGAGCTCACATCTTCACAAATTTCATGTGTAATTTAAATTAGGCCCGCTTCGGGACAAGGAAAGTGACAAAAAGGCGCTGCGACGTGCGCGCGTCTCACGCGGCGACAGCCAGTGACAAAAACGACTCGACGACGCTCTTAGAGCGGCAGTCAGACGACCACTGAAAGCACGGTTTGTCCTACTGTCACAGAAGGCGTTGCGTACTTTCACTGTGTCATTGCGCATTTCCTAATTGCTTTTCATTATACAAATACTAACACGTATATCTAAATCTCATCCCCTGATTTTCCTTTAGTCCCATTACTATACGCCGTGCGTACCTATATTCTCTTCTTATCGACCCAAAGTATAAGGGTAAGTAATTGTTATAGAAGTAGGTATAGGTAAGGTAACAATGGCAACATATAAAAGAAAAAGATTTTCGTAAGGTTTCATAGTACCTATAATCTAGGTATAACTTTAAAGGTCCTAAATCTCGACATCCCCTAATTACCTATCTACCTATCAATGGGGAAAAAATAGAACCGAAATAAAATTCCGAAAAATCGCTCTTCACTGAAAAACAGGCACACGTGGAAAGAAGGAAATAAGTTTAGGAATAACTTGCCACCTTTCTATCTAATACTGATCCTTGCATGATTTTTCCCCAATATATATACAACTGAATTACTTGCACAATTTAGAAAGGACCGTAGGAATAATCTTGATTGAAAATCTTGAAAGATTATTTATGTGGTAGGTAAGTTCGAAGGGATTATTACCTACTTACTGTGAATTTTAAGCGATTTCTTTGATTTCGCGCAAATCGTCACAAAGTACCTACACCTAAGTATAGGTACACCTATAGGTACCTACCTACATTTTTTTAGGTATAGGAAAATTAACTGCGTATAAATCCTATCTTAAATCAACAACGCTCTTTCTTATTTATTGCAATGATTTATGGAAAGTCAGGTTGTTTGGATACCCGATACCTAGATCACATCAGCCTTTGCGGATGATACTGCCCTTACGTACAGTGTATTACTAACACAGCAGATAACCAATGACGCACAGTCGGATTTGATAAAATTAATATCGTGGTTTGACTATATAATAAGTTAGCAATTAATATACCTAGATGAACCCAGTACATTGTACTTCAATTAAGGAGTAATTTCCATCAATCAGCACCGAATATCAAACATCAAACTTCACCATAGACTCTGCTGCAACCTAAATAATGCAATTGCCAACTTATAAATATGGTACAAATCCAATCATACTTGTGAATAGTTCTAGATTCAAAACTAAATTGGAAGGAGCACGTAAAAAAATTAAAACCAAAGTTACACGGAATCAACAGAACTATCACCCCTAATGCTCTAAAATTATTGTATAATGGATTCATACACTTTGGTTTAAGCTATGGAATAGAGCTCTGGGGTAGTGCCTCAAAATAAAACTCCTTCTTCTCAGTCGCACCAAAATACAATAGGTAAATCATGTATAAAATTAATAAACGGGAAATCGTGTCTTAGTACCTACTTCCACGCCTCTATTTCTAGATTCAAAAATTCTACCCCTCAGATATCTTTTTATTGTTAATTAAGGAGATTTTATAAACTTTCTAATTCAAATACCACCAGTTTCAAACTTTCAAAAAAATTAACAATCATCAAATGACTCCTATTGTGGATTGTATAATATTTCCCTATATTGCTATTCACCTTCTTATTGAACTCCTTAAAATTTTTCAACACTAGGTATAGTAAAGCACCCTGCACCTCCACCGTCCACTATATTTGTTCTCCACTACCGCCCTCCGTCATTATCAGTTTATAGCCTCCTCTGATGTTGCGTATCAATGATTTTTTCCCGTTAATAAATGAAATTAAAATTGATTTTTTCTTTTTGTACCTATGCTAAGTATTGACTTTGTTTGTAAAATGAAAAGGGAATAAAAATCTTTATTATTAATTACCTATCGAAAAAATCTAATACCTACCTAGATATCAATAGGTAGTTTATCAGGATTTTCTGATGTGATTTTTCGAGAATAGGACCTAGTCCTTGGAAGATTCAACAAATAAAAATTGCCTGCAGCACATACTATAGATCAGAGTAATCAAGGAGAACTCTACTTTCTATAAAGCTACTCGATTATACAAGATTGAAAGAGGGAGAGGATGTTCATTCATGGGTTAAGCTTTCAGCATTAAGTAGGTATACCATCATGGGGTACGCACAAGAAATAATGAATTAGCTTTAAAAACTTGATATCAAGTCAAGTAGGTAGGTACCTACTTAGGTGGGTAGGTACGTCTTGCAAATAAAGTATACCCAAAATCGTAAGCTACCATGAATCACTATAACGAGAATACCCATTTCATACAAGAAATAATGTAGAAATTTGTGTTGTACCCTTTCCAAAACCAAAGACATCAAACCGTCAATCTATTTGAGCTAATTAACCACTATATAGGTACCTATACTTATATACTAGAAATATACCTATCGCTTAAGTTCAGGTTTAACTATTGTAGTAGGCATCAAATATTTTTACTCCCTTGATAGGTAAATAATGTAGGTATATCCACCCCTGCATCTGCCCACTAAAAATTAATTTACTCGTAGTTTTAAACTTACCTAAGTAATTTTCTAAAAAATTCATATCACTTACATGTGTCGCAAACGTCAATTGCATAGGGTGTGACGTTTTTAGTGATTTTAGTGCACCAAATACTGATATTTCTTTGATAGATTATGTTTAAACAATCTACCCGTCCTAGAA